ATCTACATACCACAATAGTGCAGAGCAATGCTTTCTAGGCATTCATCTTGCCAGGCACCAGGAGCAAAGTTCCATAGACAACCTGGTCTCTGGTCTAGCGACAAGTGACCCTGTTTCTCTTCAGTAATGTGTGAACCATTGTACAAAGGACACATGGCTATCCATTCATAGCCTGCCAGGAGGAAGGCATTCCTGGAAGGAAGGAATTACTAAAGGGAGCTCCTAAATCTCAGGAGGAAGGGGATATTTTTTCCTGCCTTTTTTCCCCCCCTCTCACTTTTAATACCTAGAAAACTGCTCTTTGGTGATCCATAAACTATTTCACAGACATGGCATTGTACACTTAATACAATTGAAAGCGTCCCTGTGACAAACCCTCTCTGGTCTTCAGGCTTGGAAAAAGCAGCACCTGGGATTGTGTTCTCCGTATTCTATGGCAACAGGTATAATCAGCTTGGTATTTCATTACTACCTACCAGGGTATTGCTGGCCACAGAGGATCCCTTTTTTTCAGAGGACAGCCATGGAGAGACACATGGCCACATGGATGGACTCTGGTGACAGTTCTATATACCCCAGGACTGTGGGGCTGCTCAAGGGATTTCCAGGGAGCAAGACTTAGACATCCCTTCTGAGGGGATAGAATGTAGTACGTGAGCCAGCCTGGTAGACTACCCAGATGGTGTCAGAAGCTATAAAGACGAGACGCGGCTAGTCAGATGTATATTCTTTTCCTCTTTTAAAATGAGATAGAACTAGGGAGGTTAAGCACGCTGGAGTAGCCCTTTCTCCATTGCTATCATAGACAAAAGGTTCTATGCCCTCCACTGTGCTTTGGTGACACAGACACTGTCCTTGCCACTGCAACAAGAGACTGGCACAGGGTGGCAAGGCTACCTGGAGCACAGCTCAGCAGGGGTTCCCACCTACACAGTGGCTGTATGGTTCATGAGGTTGGCTTGGCAATTCTGGATGGGGGTTGGGATAAAGACAGACTCCCACACAATTGCTGCTACACCAACAGCTGGGCTGGATGACATTTATGTCATGACTTGGCTGCATTAAGAGATGAATCACAGAAAATTAGTGATGGAAATGACCTATTAGGTCATCTAATCCATACTCCTGTCGCTTCAAAGTACCTCCCCCAATCTATATTTTTCATCATCTCAACTCAATCTTGTTTTAAATAGTATGAGATAGAGTTTTTGCCATCCTTCCCCTATAGAGAATCCTCTTACATCTAAACCCTACATATCCTTTATTTTTGTTTACAGCATACAGTCAGCTCTGCTATAACATGCCATATGTGTTCCCCCAAAGTACCATGTTATGAAAAAAATCATGCAATAAAAAAACAGCGTTTATGGAGGTGATGGTTCCCAAAGTGGGTGATACCGCCTCCAGGATGGCACTGGAACAATCCGGGGGGGTGGTAGTAGCCTCAGGTGCAATTGGAGGGCATTGAATAAAAATAAAGGGGGTGGTGGAAGCATAAGGAAAGAAGAAAAGAGAAGAAAATTTTGAAAAACCGTTCCTGCCTGTTTCATCTGCTGTGTAACAGATTTAAAGTCAGTGATTACAATATTTTCCAAATAAACACATAAAATGCAAGTGGTCAAGTCCACCTATAGGTCTTAACAAGCAAGTGATGGCAGGCCAACGTGTTATGCATTGTTGGGATGTTCAACATGCATCAACAGGAATATGTGTGTGTAATAACTTGTTTACAATATATTATATGGTTACATGACTCAATATCGTGTCATAAAATTTTCAATATAGGAAAAACCTAAAAATTTACAGCAAGTTATTAAATTTAAGATGTGTCATTAAAAAAACTATTTTATATTTTTTGAAATGATGCAAATTAAAAAAAAAACTGTTGAAGAGTTAAACAAAGTAGATTTCCAGGAGGTTGTTGAGTGATTTTTTTTTTTTTTTGAAAAGGGGACAGTAGGCCAAATGAGTTTGGGAACCTCTGATTTAGACCCTTGGTGCTGACACAGACTAGCCATGTGGCCAAGGAACTTGTCTTCTCTGATCTTTAATTCTTTAGCTTTAAAATCAGAGTAATAATGACATTTTCTACTACATCATTGGTATAGTGGATAGAGAGCCAGAAAGATGTGGGTTGAAGTCTTACTGCTGACACAGACTGGCTGTATGGCTTAAGAAATTAATGTCCTCCCAAAGAAATTGTTGAAGCCAGCAAGTTGCCAAATAGGTCCTGATTTGCACTGAGAGAAAGGGTTTCCCTATTGGAAGTTGCTTATACCAATGACATCAGGGAGTTGGGGACAACAAAGGAACAAACCTCACGAAGCTTTGGAAATCACAAAATGCTATATGTAAGGTGTTGTTACTATCATCCCCAATTTCTTTTGTTTTGTTTTTAATAAATTTAATTTTTTTGTTTCCCAATTATGTGTAAAAACAATTTTAACATTCATTTTTAAAAAAATCTTGAGTTCCAAATTCTTCCCTTCCTTTCCCTCATTGAGAAAGGATTTTGATTTGATTTAGGTTTCATCTCCCATTTTTTAAAAAAATGGACAGGACTTGAAATATCTCCCATACTTATCCATACATCACATCCCACCTCCTGCCTCTGGGCTGCCTCGTGCCTAAAATGTGCTCCTTCATCTATCTCTTAAAATCCCTAGCTTCCTTCATCTCTCATTGACCCTTCCAACAGGAGTCTTTTCCTCATCCTTACAATTGCTAGTGCCACCGAAAATTATCATATGTGATATTTCCCTAAAGAGAAAGTAAACTTTTCGACAAGGGCATACTTGATTTTTATCTTTGTATTCCCAAGAAGGTCAATAGGTGGAACAATGGATAGAGCACTGAACCCATGGTCAGGAAGATCTGAGTTCAAATCCATTCTCGGACACTTTCTAGTTGTGTGACCTTGGACAAGTCCCCCTCTGTCTGCCTTAGTTTCCTCAACTGTAAAGTAGGGATAATAACAGTATTTACCTCCCAGGGTTGCTGTAAGGATCAAATGAGAAATATTTGTAATGTATAACACCTGACACATAGTAGGTGTGGTTCCACATGATTCTTAGTACAGTGCTTTGCAAAAAATATGTGCTTGATGAATGTAGATTGTTGTGAAACTCAGTTTACTTCATATAGAGAAAGCAACTTTTATTCAATTGAACAAGAATTTTTAAAGTATCTATGGTGGTATGTAAATTAACTGGGACAGAGTAAAATTAAATTTATTGACAGACAATATACCTTACAACTTTTTATCTTTAGAAAAAAAAAGCAGTGAGTGAAATGTACTTCTTTTGCTGTAATCATTTCTTTTTCATTATTTGGCATTAATTCACAGAATTTCAGCGCATTCTTAAATACTTCATCATGAACCCACACTTTTTTGGATATAAAGTGCACTTTTGTTGAATACTGCATTTTTCAATGTCTAATCTTGATTGTAGCCCATGGGTTTTCAATGGATTTTAAGTGAGGCAAACTCCTATATCATTGAAGCATGATTTATCTTCTTTTCTTAGATAAATTTGTTAGCCTTTTGTGACATGTGGAATGAGGCAAAGTCATGCTTTAGTGTTCCAATATCTATTTGGGGATTTCTGTAATTTTGGAATTTTGCTTGTTATGATTATTTGCAGCAATCATTTCTAGGTTTTCGACAATTTTCATTTCTGACTGTATTTTCCTTTGCACTTTAGTGCTACTGGTCCTGTTTAATTGTGAGTTTAAATGATCCCTAAAATGCTATGATCCTTGAAATGCTTGATTTCCTCAAATCTATTGCAATTATCTCTGACAGTCACTGAACTAAGCTCTTTTAAAGCTATAACTTTTGCATGTATGTTTGGAATAATATTTGTTCTCTAAAAACACAGAATTAAAAACACAACAGAAGAGCAACAAAATGTGTATATGACATAAGATCCAGCAATCAATAGACTGTGAGTTAACTAAAGATGCGGAGACCATCTCAATGGGGTTTCAGATGTTCATGTTGAGAAGCCCAGTGTTGGCAGAAGCATACACACACACGATCACTGCTTTCACAAAATGAAACCATAACAAAATCATTGGTTTTTCCCCAAGTAATTCACACATAATTATTTTATATACCCAGGACAAAGACTAAAACAAAAATTGACTTTGTAAATCATAAAACACCTCACAAATATGAGCTATTGTTATTAGGGGACATAAAAATGCTCAGCCTATAGTCAATTAGTATTTTCTGAGGAATCAGCAAGCTTGTGGGTGTTAAGGGAAGGGGATGAGGGATGCTGCTATTTTAGTTGTATGCTTTTTCAATGTCCTCCAGCTTTCACTTCAGTAAACCACAGGAAGAGCAAAGATCCTCGAGTTTTTGTTTTCCTGTTTATTTCCCTTTGATCTATTGTTTCAATTAGGTCTATCTTCATTGTATTTATGTATATACTTTGACCTGTTTTCCACCCCAAATAAAATATTAAAGAATATTTAAGTCAAGTCAAACCAAGAAAAATGTGGTAAGCAACTTCTACATGCCAGACACTGTGTTAAACTCTGGGGATACAAAGAAAGAGGGGGAAATAGTCTCCGCCCTGGAGGAGCTCACATTCTAATGGGAGAAAAGGTACACAAATAACTTAGAATGTACAAGAGGTATACAGAGTAGATGGAAGGCAATTTGAGAGAGGAAGACACTAACAGCTGTGGGAAGTAGGAAAGGCCTCCAGTAGCAGTGTGGGATTAAAGCAGATGGTCTCCCTTTCCTGGGATAGTATCCAAATTTATTACCATAAATGCATTATATTCCCTTTTTCTTTCTTCTGATATGCACAAAATTCAGTTAAACTAAAACTAGGTGGAAGGGTGAAGTGCAGGATGCAGGGCAGAAAGGAAATAGCCAGCTTGGCATTCCATTTCTGGTCATACTTTGGTTTAGGGGAAAAAAATGTTTTTCTTGAGTGCAATATGCATCATCGTAACCATTATCCACTAAAGTCTTGGAGGCTTACCTTAATCTGACCCTTTAAACAAGGTTCACTGCACACAGACCGTACCATGCCACTTTTGTTCATTTGAATTTTGTAGTCATCAATATTCAGCACCCCTTCATGCCAGGTCCCAATGTGGACATAATCATACCGGTTAGCATCAGTGTACTGAAGATTCATGATATCATACCTATAAAGGAGAAGAAACAGCGTATCATAGTTACAGATTCCCTAAACAGCCACTTCATTCTGTATGTAGTAACACCGTCTTAAGAGAACAATCAATTCCTAAGAACTTTGGAATTGATTGTGTGACATGGGAGACACTGGCACAGGACTACCCAGCTGGTGTGCCCACATCAGGGAAGGCGCTGTGCTCTGTGAGCAAAGCAGAATTGAAGTAGCTCAAAAGAAATGTGAGATGCACAGATTTAGAGAATCTACCCCAAATGTTCACATGGACTATTTGTGCCCTATCTGTGGTAGAACATTCCAAGCTTATATTGGTCTGATCAGCCACAGTTAGATATATTGAAACTTGATTCTAGCATAGTGATGTCATTTTGGTCCTCTTTGAGAACAAAGGACAACAACCCGTAACACAGACTTCCCAGTTCCATCCTTCAGTATCCATCTGTCCATCATCTATCTACTTCCTTCAACATTTCAGAAGAGCTATGTTTTTATCAGTGTGGGCATTCCCTCTGGGTGTGAAGCTCACAACATCTCCACTAATGTCATGAGATGCTTTGGCTAAAAGTAAAACAAAAGAAAAAAATCCAAACCATCATGTATAGGCCAATAGTTTGGTAATAAGCCTCTCCAAATTTAATAAGTGTGGTACTTGGGTGATAGAGTGAATAGAACACCGAATCTGGAGTCAGGAAGATCTGAGTTCAAATCTAGCCTCTGGCATTTAATAGCTGTGTGACCCTGGGCAAGTCACTTCACCCCTATTTGCCTCAGTTCCTCATCTGTAAAATGGGAGCACACTGGAGAAGACAATGGCAAACCATTCTAGTATCTTTACCAAGAAAACTGCATGAACAAGTTCATGGGTCTTGAAGAGTTGGATACGACTGAATGACTAAACAACAAACACCCGGTTTGTCATTAAACTTCTCTTGAAGCTATTTTTAGTGTGATAGGCCCTATTGGAGTTTGGGTTCCACTGTCATAGTCTTGAGTCTGATTTTTCTGAAAACTTTTTTTTTCTGAAAAAATCAGGGTCAATTCTATGTCAGAACAAAATATCAGAGTAGGATTTCATATATTATATGCACTTGACAAAAATATAGTGCAATTTATGTTGTAAATGTATAGTTCAACCCTAAATAGCTTCTTCTAAGCACCATTCTCTCCCCATAGTAAAAATGATAACTTCCAGGTTATTAGCATCAGTAATGATAATGAATTCTTATACTTATGGAGATGCTTCAGAAAACACTTCAGAGGTGATTGAGAGGGGCCATATTGGTGTAGTGGAAAGAGAACTGGATTTTGAGTCATAAACCCTGGATTCGAGTCCCGTCTCAGATACTTAGTAGCTGTGTGACCCTGGGCAAGACATTTAACCCAATTGGGCCTCAATTTCCTCATCTGTAAAATGAGGGGGTTGGACTTAATGGTGTCTAAAGTCCCTTGCAGGTCTAACACTAAGATCCTAAGTCTCATATCTGAAACTTATTAGCTGTGGGACCTCATGAAATTTACCTAATCTCTCAGTGACCACTGCCTCTGACCATTGCCAGGAAAATGGATGTAATAAAACTTGCACTATCTCCCTTATAAGGTTGTTATGAAGAAAATGTTTTATAAACTTTCTCTTTTTTCTTTTTTAAAATTTTCTTTTTAATTTATGGAATAAAACAAGCATTTCCATAACATAGTACAATAAAAATGATGATTGTTCATAAAACTGCAAACCTACTATGCACAACTTGCTATTCTTTTCAAATATACAACAAAATTATCGTGTAATTTTTTTTCCTTCCCTATCTCCATTCCCTCCTAGAAATGGCTACCATTAGACCCAAATAAGTACATGTATATATGTAAAATTATTCTATACATATGTCTATTTATCAGTTCTTTCTCTGGATGCAGATAACATCTTTCTTCATATGTCCTTTATTTTATTAGTATTTTTGTATTAGTTTTATGTATTAGTATTTTGTATTAGTATTTTTGGTATTTATAATAGACAAAATAAGTTACTCACTTAAAGTTGTTCTTAAAACAATATTGTTGTTACTGTATACAATGTTCTCTTGGTTCTGCTCATTTCTCTGTTTATTATTTCATGTAACTCTTCCCATGTTTTTCTTAGATCATTGAGCTCATCATTTTTTATAGTACAATAGTATTCCATCACAATCATATACTGCAGCTTGTTCAGCCACTCCCCAATTGATGGGCATTACTGCAATTTCTAGTTTTTTACCACCACAAAGAGAGCTGCAATAAACATTTTAAAACATGTAGGTTCTTTTCCTTTTTCTCTAATCATCTTTGGAAATAGACCAAGTCAAAGGGTATAGGTAGTTTAATAATTCTTTAGTCATAATTCCACCTCTCCAAAATGGTTGGATTGTTTTACAATTCCACCAACTATGAATTAGTATCCCAATTTTTCCACATACCTTCCAACATCTATCCCTTTCCCCTTATATTATTTTAACCAATCTGGTAGGTATAAAATGATATCTCAAGGTTGTTTTAATCTGTATTTCTCTAATCAGTAATGATTTAAGCATTTTGTATTACTATGAATTATTTTGATTTCTTCATTGGAAAACTGTTTACTTTGACCATTTACGATTGGGGAATGACTTGTATTCTTACAGATTTGACAAAGTTCATTCTATATTTTAGATATTAGACCTTTACCTGATAAACTGTCTATAAAAAATTTCCCTTGATTTTCTACTTTCCTTCTAATCTTGGTTATATTTATTCTATTTGTACAAAATTTTTTTTTAAAATTTAATGTAATCAAAATTATCCATTTTATACCTAAATGCTCTCCTTCACTTTTTTATTCATAAATTGTTCACCTATCCATAAGTTGAAAGTAATATGTTTCATATTCTTCTAATTTTCTCGTAAAATTTCTCTTTATATCTAGGTCATGTGTCCATTTTGAGTTTTTCTTGGTAAACAGTCTGAGATATTGATCCATGCCTACTTTCTGCCATACTGCTTTCTAGTTTTCCCAACAATTTTTACCAAGTAATGAATTCTTATCCCCAAATCTTAGTCTTTACACTTGTCAAATCCAATGTTATTATGTTTATTTGTTGCTGCAAATTGCGTGTCTACTCTATTCCATGTCTACTCTATTCCATTAATCTACCTTTCTATTTCTTAGCCAGTACCATATGGTTTAGATAATTACTGCCTTATAACATAGTTTAAGATCTGGTACTGTTAAACCTCCTTCCTTTGTACTTTTATCATTATTTCCTTTTATATTCTTGACTTTTTGTTTTTCCAAGTGAATTTTATTATTTTTCCTAATTCAGTAAAATAATGCTTTTAGTAATTCGATTGGGATGGCATTGAATATATAAATTATTTTGGGTGCAATTGTCATTTTTATTTTATTGGCCGACGAACAATTAATATCTCTCCAATTATTTAAATCTGATTTTATTTGTATAAAAAGTTTTTTTTTATAATTTGATTTATATAGTTCCTGGGTTTGTTTTGGTAGGCATACTCCCAGATATCTTATATTGTCTAGAGTTATTTTAAATGGGGTGTTTTTTTTACTATCTCTTTTTGCAGAGTTTTGTTTGTGATATTTAGGAATGTTGATGATTTATTTGAATTTACTTTATATCTTGCTACTTTGCTAAAATTATTGTTTCAACTAATTTTTTTGTTGAGTCTTTGGGATTTTCCAAGAATATCATCATATCATCTGCAAAAAGAGATAGTTTTATTACTTCATTCCCTATTCTGATTGTTTCAATTTCTTTTTCCTCTCATATTTATAGGGGCAGGTAGGTGGCTGAATGGATACAATACTGGGCCTGGAGTCAGGAAGGACTCATCTTCCTAAATTCAAATCTAGCTGAAGCTTACTAGCTGTGTGACCCTGGGCAAATCATTTAACCCTGTTTGCCTCAATCTCCTCATCTGCAAAACGAGCTGGAGCAGGAAATGCAAACCTCTCCAGTATCTTTGCCAAGAAAACCCCAAATGGGGTCACAAAGAGTGTGACATGAACAGCAACAAAGCCATTATTATTATTCATCCTTCTGTAATGGTGCTCTACACTTTGACAACAAATGTATAGAGTGATTAGCATGTGATTCAAAAAGAGAGAGTGATAATCTCTGGGGATCAGGCCAAGGTTCTCTAAGACATGTTCTCTAGCTACTTATCTCCAAAATGCGGGCTTTTTATTACAGAAAGCTAATTGCTATGTCTTGGGGCCACCATTCCTTGCTCAGCTTACACAGCTGGATTTTACCCTCTATTGGGCAACAGGCTGATTTCCACTTCAAACTCATGCCAGATTCTTCAAACACAGCTGTAGGGGGAAAACCAGGATGATGATGATGGACAAAGAAAATATATTTTTTTACTCTCTCATGTGTCAAATGAAAATGCATTAGCTAATGTGAAGGGAAAGAATTGAGCTCTTTAAACTCATGCCATAAACCCTGCTGATGATCATTTATTTAACAAGAATGTATTAAGTACTCATTGTATGCAAAGCCAGTTTTTGGTACTTAGGAAGGAGAAAATTTTCCTACTTTGTGGCGCCGAAAATATCTCAGACTTATTTATGTAGCCAGTCTTCAGTGTAATTTGGTGCTGCATATAAATCTTGTTTATGATATACTATTATCCATTTTAATTATTTGGATTAATGTTCATTTCTAATTCCCACCCCTACTTGCCATACTCATTAAGGCTGAGAAACCTGTTGTGAATGTCTAATATGAGTGGTTTCCTTAAAGTTTCTTTCCATTCTCTCTGTTTCTCTGTCTCTCTGTCTCATTTATTCCTTCCCCTTTGTGTGTATTAAGGCAGTGAAAATGCCATATTCCTCTTCCCTACCTGTGCCTCAGTTTCCTGAAATTTGTTCAAGTTTCCCCATTTTCTCTCTTAGAGAGGAAATGTTTCCCAGTTCATCTACATTAGTAATGAGAAAGTGAAAAATGCATAATATTGTAC